TGGCAGTTTTCCGCCAATGTTCTATCCGAGCCATTTTTGGGTGATCTTTAGCAATAATTTGCTTGCATATGGTATTGCTCAGTAATTTCCACATTCTGTTGGATCAACGTTCTTGGAAAATGGAAACAAATATCAATCTGTTCCAGTCAGTTGTCTTCCAAATTTTCAGGCACAGACTGATGAGCATGTCCAAGGATGCATGTGTTAGTTGAAACATGTTAATTCGCTGTCCCATTTATTCCTGGGACCTTAACTTTTTGACAATGTCTTCAGTACAGCTTCAACTTTTCCTTTTTACCATTGGCTCTTTATCATAAGCTACTTCCTGAAATAGTTCACAGTCTTGACTAATTTTTCTTTTTAAGTACACTGACTCTGTGTATTCACTCCATTTCTTTTGATACTTCCTGGATCATGCAAGATCTGGCCATATCATCTTTCAGTATTACAATTTGAGGCTTAAATTTGGTTCTCATTTCTCTCAGCTTGAGAAATACAGAGCAATTTCCCCCTTCTTATTCTCTAACTCCAGCTCTTTTCAGATTGTGCTATAATATTCTGCTTTGTCTTCTCCAGCTGCCTTTTGAAATCTCCTGTTTATCTCTCACTCCTGCATCTCATCCCTTGATTTTGGCTTTTCAATGCTCCAGTGCAATTTTTAGAGTCTCTTCTGACTTCCATTTTGGTCTTTTCCCTCTATGAAATGACCTTTTGTTCTCTTCATAGATGATATCCTTGATGTGATCCCACAACTCATTTGGTCTTTAATCATTAGTGTTGAATGACTCAAATCTATTCTTAAGATGATTTTTAAATTCAAGTGGAATACATTCATGGTCATATTTTAGATGTCATGGACTTGCTTTAATCTTCTTCAGCTTCAGTTTGAACTTGTCCAGGAGTAATTGATGGTCTGTTCCACAGTCAGCATTTGGCCTGATTTTGACTGCGGATATTCAGCTTCTCCAATGATTTTTCCATAAGATGAAGTCAATCTGATTTTTATGCAGTCCATCAGATGAGGCCTATGTCACCATTTGTGTTTCTTAAAAATAAATGGTATTTGTGATGAATAAATCAATGAACATACAAAATCCAATCATTTGTTCTCCAGTCTTATTTCTCTCACCAAGTCTATATATTTTCCAACTACCATTCCTTCTTCATTTTTTCCAATTTTTGCATTCCTGTCACCAACTATTATTAATGCATCCTGATTGCATATTTAGTCAATTTTGTAATGCAAGTTGGTAGAAATCCCAATTTTCTCCTCTTTGGCTTTAACTGTTGGTGTCTATAGTGGTAATAACAAATTTTCCTTGTATTGTATAGTCCATGTATAGTATCCTGTTGCTCACAACATTGTACTTTAGATTTTGAAATGTTCTTTTTAATATGCACACAACACCATCCTTAACTTTTAATTCCTAGAATAGTAAATCATATGACTATCTGCCCCAAAGTGGCCAATGTCAGTCCATCTCAGCTCACTAATGCCTAACCTGTCCATGAGTATGCATTCCATTTCATTTTTTACAATGTCCAGTTTTCTTACATTCACTTTCAAATTTTCTTACATTCACGTTCAAATTATTAGTGGATAACTGTAGCTGTTCTTCCTCATTTTTTAGTGTCTTCCAATTTGAGGGCTCTCTCTCTCCAATGCCATGTCTGTATAACTGTTCTCTATTAATTATTGGTTTTCCGAAGGATTGTTATTTCAGAAGTGGCTGGCCAATCATCCCTAGTCAGAGGGTGTGTGTGTGTGTGTGTGTGTGTGTGTGTATCTATATCTATCTATGAGGTCAAGTTGTTTTGTATAGTTCATCTGTATCTTTTTTAGTTGTTTAGTTGTCTTATCTTTCAGTGAGAGTGGTGCACTGAAGTCTCCTACTACTACTGTAGTGTTGTCCATTTCTTTCAAGTCTGTTAACGTTTGTTTTGCGTATTTTTTTTAGGTCTACCATTCAGTGCATACATATCAATTAAGGTTATGTATGCCCTCTTATTCTATTGTGACTCTAGGCATTATATACTATCCTTCCTTGTGTCTTCTGTTCATTTTCCCCCTGAAAGCAGTTTTATCAGACATTAGTATTGCCACTCTTTTATTTTTAATCTACATTTCTTATCAGCAAACTGATGGGATTTCTTTACCCACTACACTACTTTTTTTCTTTAGTGGTGTGTTTAAGATATTTATATTCAGTGTGGTTATCAACAAGCAAGGTATTATTGATGACATTTTGTTGAGCTCTTTTTTGTAATGTTGCTGGTTTCTTTGATTCATCCATTTTCTGATGCTGTCTCTGTGTAAAGGCCTTCCTTTAGCATTTCTTGTAAAATATGTCTTGTTTGCACAAATTCCTTTATTTCCTGCTTTTCTGGGAATGACCTAAATTTCTCTTTCATAGTTGATGCACAGTTTCACTGGATGCAGGATTTTCAGATGGCAATTTTCTTTCAGCATTTCATACAAGCCATTTTACTGTCTTTTAGCTCACACAGTTTCAACTGAAAAGTTGGAGTGTTTTTACTTTCTTTGAATCAAGGGCTCTTTGTGCTTCAGAGTCTGTCTGCCTCTAGGCAGAGAGGTTATCTAAATATGAGAGATAAATTGCCTCTGTCAGTATGCCTTTAAGGTGTGGCTACATCAGAGCACAGTTTCAAGTTCCTAGGCTGGAGTCAGCTATAGGGTGGGATTGCAGGGTGGGGACAAGAAGAAGCCTACTCCTGGAAGTGGATGGGGCCTGGCTTCTAAAGCCAGTCACTCAGGATCTCCAGATGTTCCCCAGGAAGCAATGGTTGGGGGTTAACTGTAGGTCTCTGGTGATGTCAGTGAGCATTGTTTTTGCAAAAGAGATGTTCCTTCCATAGCAACTGACAAATGTGGGTTCCCACCATCTCTGCATGGCTGATCTTTGCAGCACAGACATACTTCAGGATGGCTTTATTATGCTTAGGTCTCACTGCCAGGCTTAAGATAGAACTGGTCCACTTGCTGTGAAGGGGAAGGGCTTCTTTCCAGAGGCAGGTCCCACTAGTGTCTCACCTGTTCAGAAATTCTTTGCACAAGGGTGAGGAGAAGAGGTCATCCACCCTCTGTCTCAGTCACCAGTAAGATTTTATTTCTCTCTTTGTGGGATCCAAGGTCTGCTCAGGCTAGTTTACTGTTCTGATTCTTGAGTTTTCATATGCGTCTTCACTCTTTTTTTCCTGACTGGCTTTCCCCCCCTCATTAGCTTCTCCCAAACTTCAGGGTGCTCAAATCTTCCACGGTTGGGATTCTGTGTGAATCTCCTTATGGCTCCACTACAGGGAGGCAGGATGTCTACCAATCTGATTAGTTCCCCATCCCACTGGAAGTCTTCAGCCATTTTTGTTTTATTTTAATAAATTTTTGTGTGTGTGATTTTAACGAAAGTTCACAGAAAACTTGGATTTCCACTCATTCATTGTTCCACAATTTCCTCCCTACCCTTCACCCAAGTCCTCTTATTCTGGACTGTTACCATACAAATAATGTCCAATCAATATTCTTTGTAAACAGTTCTTCCCCTCATCTGTTCCAATGCAGTGTTCATTATTTATCCCTCCTTTTCTTCATTTTCCCCAACACCTAATGTCGTTTTGTTTTATAACAATGGCTTTATGCAGTATTTGTCCTATCGTGACTGAGTTATTTCACACATCCAGCCATTTTAAATAAATACATAGCAGTAGCCTACCTATAGACAGTACTTGTAATAATCTATCAATAAAGGAAAGACCTGGTAGATAATCTAATGCAATGGCATTCTAGTTGGAAATAATTTGTTTCACAAGGAAAAAGCATTTTCAAAAGAAAAACATGAGAGATTAACTAGAACAGTTAGAAAGATCGAGTCAAGAAGGCTAATTCTGATCTTGGTGACAAAAAGAAATGTGAAGTATGTTGCATGTCATATAAGAATCAATCACATGATCTACACTACTTTCACTAAATCATCTCCTGGTTAGATTTTAACTTTCAATTATGATTTCACAACAGAGAAGGAAACAAAACTTCAAACTTGTTCTGTTATGGTCGACACAATGAAAGTGGTACAGAAAAGAAGTTGTAAAATAATCTGAACGGAAAAATAATCACAGGCAGAAGTTCTGGAGCAGCTGATCTGGAAGCAGGGTAAATGAGTCCTCTCAGGAACCTAACGTGAAAGATTGGATTTGCCAAGACTGTGGAGAGTAACACAAAAAGCTTGCCATCATTATGAGCTAGCTATTACTTTTCCAACTCTTCCTGCTAAGAGATCGAATTGTTGTGCTATCTGCACAATGTCACTGTTTTCTAAGAAGGAGACTGAATTTCTGGCAAAACAGCGACCAATCACTTGACCTTTCTATTTTCTATTCTGATTACTGTTTTTGTAGACCCACTTTTTATAAATCCCAGTCCATTCCAGTTTTACTTCATTGGTCATGATGGAACTGGGAAGAACTAGTTCAAAGCTCTGACAAGAAAACACTTCATTATACATCTTTCTAATTTTCATTTTAAATGGTTTCTGTTTGTTTTTTCTCTTTTAAATTCTGCATGTGCCCATTCTCAACAGATCAGACTTATATACACTATTAAAATTAGGTTTCTGGGCCTGTAGAACCAAGAAGAGTCAGCAGTAGGGCTACCGTAGAATCAACATGGTAAATAACACTTCATGAGGTTTCCCGGCAATTATACGGCATTTCCTAACACCGTAGTTATCAAGCACATCTACCTTCTAATTTCTACTATAAGGTTTTAAAAAGTGATTATCTGTAATAACCTGCTTTGTAACACACCATTGGACTTTTTTCTTTTTTTCCCCCTTTCTTAAAAAATCTATTTTATTTGAATGAAAGTTTGCAAATCACATTAGTGTTTTCAGATAATCATTCACAGGCATTAATTACTATTAATTGTTGCAAATGGAATTTTATTATTTTTATGACTCTTAATCCAATCATTATGAGGTATTTCCTACCTGTGCAGCTTGCTCTTCCTGAGTCTGGCTAAGCTGAGCTTGCAAAGTGTTAATAAGTTCATTCTTCTCTGTGAGTTCATGCTTCATCCTTGTAACTTCTTCTATTTGTGCAGAACTTTTATTGAACTAAAGACAAGAATACAAATTTTATTGTTGAGCAAATAATGAACATTAATTCTTTGATAATCCCCTTCCTTATTGTCCTGAAATGCTAACTACATTCCCCCATATATTCACTTAAAATAAAAGGGTTTAAAATAATTAGCTGTTCTGTAAGACTTTTTTTTTTATTTCCAAAATTTATTTCTCAGAAGAAATTACTATGATAGCCACAGTTTATAATGTCTCTGAAACCCTCAATAGATAGCACAAATAGGTAGGAAATCCAAAAACCTAAAGAAAATGTCTACGGCAAATTTAGAAAGGTAATCTACACATCTCAAAATCCAACCAGGAACGAATACATTATCAAAAGCTAAAGGATCTGCAATAGATAAGTCTGTGTAAAAGAAAAAGATGAAACACAATTAATAACATGACCCGATAGAGGAGAATCCCAAATAGCCAATTAAGTGCAAGAAAGCACAATTAAAGACAGATAATCTTTGAGTTTAGAGCTGTTGAGGTTGTTGTTAGGATCCATTGAATTGAGTACTACCTCACAGCAAGGGAACACTGCAAGGTTCAAAATTGGGAAAGGTGTACACCAGGGATGTGTCCTACCCCCATACTTTTTCAATCTATATGCAGAACAGATTATCTGGGAGGCTGGGCTCTATGAGGAAGAATGTGGCACCAAGACTGGAGGAAGATTCATCAAAAATCTGCATTATGAAGATGATACACCCTGCATGCTGAAATGGAGGAGGACCTGAAGCACTTGCTGCAAAAGGTCAAGGACTGCAACCTTCAATATGAAGTTCAATATCAAGAAAACAAAGATTCTCACCACTGAGCCGATTGGTAGCATTGTGAGAGATTGTAAAGAGATTGAGATTGTAAATAACTTTAGTTTGCTTTGGCTCCACAACCAACACTCTTAGCAGCATCCAGGAAATTAAAAGATGAATTGCTTTGGGAAAGTCAGCTAGCTGTCAGAGACTTCTCCAAAGTACTGGAGACCAACGACAGTCTGGAGCCTAAGGTGTGCCTGATACAGGCCATGGTCTTTGCAATCACTGCTATGCATCAGAGAGCTGGACAATGAGTAGGGATAATAGGAGGAGAATTGATGCTTTTGAGCTGTGGTGTTGGAGAAGAGTATTGAATATACTATGGACGAGCAGGTTTGTCCTTGAGGGTTAAACTAGGCTGTTCCTTGGAGGTAAGGATTCTGAAGGTTCATCTGACATACTTTGGATATATTGCGAGGGACCCATCCATAATTTGGATATACTGAGAGGGACGTCATGCTTGGGAGGGTGGAGGGACAGTCCTGATGGGCATGTGAGAGAAATTTATGAAGTTGTATCTGATATGCATTACTGCTCTTTTGCCCTCAAGAGTGGGTGTCTTTGAGCCTTTGCCTAGCATAGAAGTCTGATCAAGGGCTTGGCTCTGAAACCCCACAGAGGGAGGGGACGGGACTGCTGGTTGGAGCCTAGAACCCCTACTCTGTGACTATGCATGTTTGCTGCATCTGATGGCAGACCTGATGGGCACATGAGAGAAGTTTCTGGAGCTGTGTCTGATGTGTGTTACTGCTCTTTTCCCTTCAAGAGCAGATGTCCTCGAGCCTTTGCCTAGGGTGGATGTCTGTTCAAGGGCATGGCTTTGAAACCCTGCAGGAACATTCCTTAAATGAAACAAGAAACTTTTGTCTATTTGCTGAACTGAACAACTTTGTGTTGCTGTGATGATGCACACTGTTACACAGTCTTGTCAAATACCATAATGGTTACCCATTATATACAGTGTTTGGATGAGCTTCCAGATTGATTTATGCTGAGAAGCAGGAGTGGCATCCACTTCCTAAACTAGGTGCCTCTGGAAACTCTACAAACTCTCTAAACTCTACAGACTCTCTAAACTCTTTAAATGTACAGAAATAGTGTTAGTTATAGAACCGAGTTCTGTACAGAAATCATGTTAGTTGTGGAACAGTGTTCAGGTATTTTGTGCAAAACTTACTCTGTCATATTCAAATTGACGACACTTAACCACTGCTAAAGGAAACTAATGCTGTTTATATCTGGAGAAACACTCTTTCCACTTTGTAAATCACTCTTTGTCAATATGCAGTATAAAGTAACCTGGGTTTGCTGTGATGCTGAACCTGTACCATTGGGATATCAAATACCAGAATGGTTTCCCAATGTCAACAGTGTTTGGTAAAGCTCCTAGTTGTAAAATAGGTTTGGAAGCAGGAGTGGCATCGACTTCCTAAACCACATGCCTCTGGAAACTCTATGAACTTGGAACTGATGATAGCTATGGAAGGGCATTAGGTCTTTTGTTCACAGAGCTGCTATGAGTCGCACTTGACTTGATGGCAATTAATAACAACATATGTACTTTACATTAATGAGTAAGTAAAATATACTACCTCAAGGTTCATCAATGCTATGACATGTATCAGGATTCAGTTTCTCTTTATGCAGAGTTACACATGTAACACATTTTGCATATTCACCTGTTGAGGAAGCTCTCGTGACCCAGCCTGCAGGGAGCTGAGGTGCTAACTCACACACCACGACTTTCTGGTGGTTGATCCATGAGCAGCCCCGAGGGAGAAAGATGGGCAATCTCTTCCTATGCAATTTACAAACACTGCAAACCCACTGGACGGTCAACTATGAGTCAGTTCCAACTGAATACTACAAGTTATATAATTCAAGAAGATAAAGATATTTGAAGCCATATATTGAAAGAGTCTATTGGTCCCTAAAAATATCAATTCAAAATGACAAACACCACAATGATGATAAGAACACCTATATTCGTTATGAACTTGACTATATCTTATAATTTTATTGTTTATTTTGTGTTTAATGCACAGCTCTTTGACACCTTAAACCTGCTTCGATTTGGTGATGTAAACTTTTAAACACTGCAGATCAGTATAGAACTGGTCATAGAGGAAGATATAGAAATCCAGTAGCATGATTTTTAAATAACCTGTCTTTGTTTTTGATAGTAAATGCCAGTAGTGACCAAGAACACAGTGATTATATACACTATACTGGAAGGATTTAATTTTTAATTCATCTTTATGAAGATTTAGAATTTCATTCCTTGTGTTAAAGGGGAATGTTTAATTCAGAAATAAACATTTGTGTATTAAAAAAAATGACAAACACCAATGCACATTATAGTAAAATTACACTTAAGAAAAAAGAGAAAGGGAGATAATGATAGATCAACTGACTGATTACCTTAACCTAGCAATTATGAGAGACTTCCATCCCTACCTGTGCTGCTTGTTCTGCCTGAGCTTGCATAAGCTGGGCTTGCAAACTGTTAATAAGTTCATCTTTCTCCGCAAGTTTCTGTTTGATATGGTATATTTCCTCATCTTCCTCAGTTGAACTCGTTTCATGCTGAAACACAGGAGAGATAAGTAATTTCTTTAAAGAATTACAATTCATCTTTTTTTTTTCTAGTTCGCTATAGGCAACCATGTGAATATCAAGTTTTTTTCAGTTCTCATACTAAATTCTTTGCTTATTTTATTCTCATAATCTTAGCACAAATCATTATTCCTTCTAAGGGTTCATTAATCTGACTCCAAGTGAATCCAATTTTCCCATAAAAGATTAGGAGAAATTCCAAAAAACCCAGATATTCCACTACCCCTGAGAAAATGAGAACTGAGGCAAAACCAGAGATTTGTACACCGATGTTCACTGTAGCAATATTCACTATGGCAAGAACATGGAAACAGTCTAAATGTCCAATCACAAATGAATGGATTCAGAAATTATGGTACATTCACACAACGGAATACTAGGCAGCATGCAGGAGCAATAACTTTGTAAATTATTATCTAACTTGGGAGGGATTGGAGAGCATTATGCTGAGTGAACTAACTCAGTTCCATAAGGATAAACATAAAACATAAATATAAAACCATTATTATAGAATGAGTGTAAGGATCCAAGAGGGGTAGGAGAGGCTGGAAGCAGAGGGATGAGGATATGCAGGGGGAAGGGGGATTAATCACGGGGTTATACAATTTGTTGGGTGGGGGGGATGAGGGAAATTCAAAGAATTTGTTCTTGAAAACAATGTTTTCGAATTTTGTAAATAATCTAGTAAAAAATTTTTTTAAAAAAGTTTAGTAGACTAGAAGTATGCTGATAAATTTCACTATTTATCTTCCTGTTCTTAGCAGGATTAGATAATCTGATAGGAAAAGTGGACACATTTCTTCCTCAATCACCTTCTCTCACCTTGACCCCCACAAAAGTAAGTCCTCATGCAAACAAAAAGGTAAACAAGTATAAAATTAACCCTCTTCCAAGAGGTGTCAAAAATCTATTTGATGTAAGGAATCAGTTATTTACTCCTAAACTAATTAGCTCATAGGTTTTTGTTAGATTATAAGCCAAAAATATTAACACAAGCATTTAATTATCATTAAAGAAATATGACTAAGTATCGGTACTGTCTATATTTGATATTTTAAATAATTTAGTACATCCCATACCACTGGGAACATTCCTACCCTCAACTATACAAAATACAGAAAAGGAGAAAAATACAAATAGGGAATCCAAGCACTAAATGAAACAGCTGAAGACACTGGAAAGCAATCAAAAGAAGATAATAGTAAGTCAAGTCAATAGCAGGAAACAGAAACAGCAGAACAGCTGGTAGACTGGAATTCTGTGCCTTTGGGCAGCTTTTTACCACTAAGCCGTCAAAGCTCCCTTAAATAAAATTGTTGTTGTTAGGTGCTATTGAGTGTAACTCATAGCAACCTAATGAACAACACATCTGAACCCTGTCCTATTCTGTAACATCTCCATCATCTCAGACATTCTGGAACCCATTGCTGCAGACACTGTGTCAGTCTATCTTGTTGGGGGTCCTCCTCTCTATCCCTGACCCTCTGTCTTTCCAAGCATGATGTCCCTTTACGAGAACAGCCTCTCCTAGCAGTATGTTCAGAGTAGGAGAGACAGAGCTTTATGCTCTTCACCTCCAAAAAGCACTCTAGCTGCACTTTTTGCAAGACTTATCTGTTTCTTTCGCAGTCCATGGAATGTTCAATACTCTTCTCCAACACTACAACTCAAAGGCATCAATTATTCTTCTGTGATCCTTATTCATTATTCAGCTCTCAGATGCACAGCATGTAACTGAAAACACCATGGCCTGAACTTGGTGCATGTTGGTCTTTAAGCTGACATCATTCCTCTTAAGTATTCTGGAGAAGTTCCTGAAAACAGACTTGCCCAATGCAATATGTCTCTAGCTTGCCAGGTTGTTGATTGTCAATGGAAGTAAGATGAAATCATTGATAGCTTCAATCCTTTCTCCATCTATCATATTGTCTGTTGACTCCATGGTAGGACCTTCATTTTCTTGATGTTGGGATGTAATCTATACCAAAGGCTGTGTTTGAAGTCCTCCTCACTCTGAGCAAGCAAAGTTGTGTCATCTGTGTAATGCAGATTATTGATGAGACCTCCTCTGATCTTGATGCCACATTCCTCTTCAGAGTCCAGCAAACAGACTGAATAGGTATGGAGAAAGGATACATCCTTGACACAACCTTTCTGATTTTAAACCATGCAGTGTTACCCTTCTCTTTCAGACAAGAGCTTCTTGCTCTATCAGACAAGAGCTTCTTGCTTCTTGGATGAGCACAATTAAGCATTGAGATTCTCATTCTTCTCAATATTAGGCATAGTTTCTTAGATCCACACGATCAAAGTTTTAGTTAATAAAACACAAACAGACATTCAGAGGTATCCTCTGCTTATAGCCAAGATCCATTTGACATCAGCAATGATAGATCTGGTGCCATAGCCTCTTCTAAATCCTGTATGAACGTCTGGCAATTCCCTGTCAATGTACTGTTCTGGCCATTTTTGGATGATCTTCAATATTTTGATTGGATATGGTATTAACAATATTGACGAGCACACCCCAAAAAAGTAATGGCTTCTGAGTATTCAAAAGGAAAGGCTAACCAGGGTTCTGGGGATAACCTTAAAGGTTGTGCCAAGATTATCAACTAAAACCTCATTTCCTAAAAGATTCCTGGTGGGTCAAAAGGTGAAAATAAAAAGATTTCCTATAAAGTGTTTCATCTTAACTCAAGAATTATACAAGCATGTTACATACCTGCCTCCCTATACTAATTATCAACCTCTCCACAAAACTGAACTTTGTTTAAATAACAGAGTGAATATGCTCATTTAGAGTTCAAGCACAGAAAAAGTTCCTAAGTATTGAAACATTCTGTTGCCCAAAGGACAGTACTTTCCTTATTCCTCTGTTGACATCTTTAACCTTAGGGTGTTTTGTTTATGGCTGTATAAGCCTAGAGAACATGCCTATTAGGGAGCACAGGTAATCCAGCATAGTAAATTCAGCCCACAGCATAACCTGCCATTACATGGTTGTACTAGAACACAGAATATTTTATATTCAACCACCAAAGTAAAAAACTCTAGCGTTAGGGGGAACCTTGGAAACTAGACTATGATAAAATTTCTCCAATAAGCATGTGCCTCTCTTTTCTATTTCAAGTCAGTACTTATTTCTTCCTGATAACATTTCCTTCTCAAAGTCAAAGTAACAACTGGTATCTTGCATCTGTATTATTCTTCCCACATGTGGCCTACAGTCTAGCTGGATAAGAAAGGTCAGCACTTAGTGCTCCATTACTTTAGCTTTGTAAATGTGATTAGTGAAGATCTGATACACTGGGAAGACTTTTTTGAATCAGGAAGTATTTTAGTCAAGCGCTGTACCCTGGAGTGTTGCTCCTCCCGCTGAGATTCAGTAGGCAGGGCAGACTGTGCCTTCATCTCTTCCAGCTGTCTATTCAGAGATGTTATTTTTGCTTTAGCATGAAGTCGCATTTTCTTTATTTTGTCTTCAGCAGCTTTTCGTTCCTCCTGAGGAAAACAAGAACAGTAAAGGCATAAATGTTTACAACATACCAAAAAGTTACTCTGTAACAAATGTTATTTACAAGAAAGGCATCATCTTCCAGTATTAGGAAAGGAAGAATCAGAATCTTAACAGATTCTGAGAGAATTTAAGTGAAGAGGAAAATCTAAGTGAACGGTCTGTTTCAGGAAATGTGGACAAGAAAATACAAATGGAATAGTACCTCAAGAGTAGCATCTTTCTGTTGTAATTCATGGTCTCTCTGCCTAATAAGATCTTTGAGCTGCACCACTAACTGCTCCGTGTGAAACAAGCGCTCCAGAACATCGTTCTGAGGCAGTTGGCTGTTGGGCTCCATATCCAATCCCTGTGGTCTCACCTAGTATTTAAAAAAACAAAAAAACAAAAAAAAAAGAGATTACAGTGCATCAGGGAAAAGATATTATAGTTTCCACATTCTAATTTACCTTCATTTTTTTGCCATCTTAAATTCTTTTAAAGAAAATTTTCTATCTCTGACTCAACAATTGCTGCCATTCAAAGCTATTACAAAGTTATCATATACTTAAGCCTTTTCAAACAAAAACTTTAAATGTTAAGCAGTTTACACATAAAAATTTTAAATTGTTAAAAGATTTCATTTACGGTATTAATAATTATACTAATTTTACCAAAGAGAAAAAAGATTACAAGCCATAAATTGTTGTAGCTCAAAATTTAAAAAACAAGGTAATAGGTGAATAAATTGCTCTTACCACAAAGCAATAATGCTCGTCTTTTCAGAAACTAAAGAGATTGTTTTGGTTCATTGTGTGGAGCTCCAAATATATAATACATCAACTATACTGAGAGGATATAGATGAATTTATAAAAGTAAAGAGATATTGTTAAACACAAGAGAAGTCCAGTTCCCCCATCTGTCACTCATCCATTCTTAAAGAACAGGAATAGTAACCTACAAAAGAAGAATGAAAACAAACCAACAGTAATAAACCCAAGAGGAGCAAACTAAAATTTCATTCAGGACGTGTTACTCTCACTGTGGTTTTTAAACTACAAACAGAAGGATCATTTGTCTAAAGCTCAATATTCCTAATATTCTCTTCAGCTCATCATAAAGCTACAGGCATCTAAAATTATTTTCCTCAAAAGAATACAGAATATCTCTCCTACCAATTAAAATCAGAGTTATTAACTTGGCGAATGGGAGGCCCCATATTATGATTTCTTAATAATTCATTAAATACAGTGTTTGCTATTTCTGTCAATCAACAAAACATTTCTGGAGGGAAAAAAAGTATCAGAATCAGTAAAATAGAACTAACTCTTCTCTAATATTAGTAAATATACTAACCAAGTTAAATATACTACAATGCTGTTAGTGTGCAGACTGCAAAATGTCTTCAAAAAAGCATCTGACTGTGAGTACTTTGTTTTTTCCGTGGGAACTATAAAGATTTTAACCACTATCATTAATATCATTCTCTAAACAAAATATAACAATATAAGCAAGTGGAAAATACTGTATTTAAAAGTTACTTTGATGGCCTTTCTTTCATTAAAAATTCATTTGTAAGTAAGAAATTATAACTATTTCTTTCCCTGCTAGATTGTTATTCAGACTTTTACAAATAAACTTTATGATTCTGTAGAAACTTTCTTTTATATGCCTCATGTTTAAGGAAGTTTTCTTGATAAATTTTGTAGATGCTCCAAATTTTCAATAAAAATTTTTAGTTAAATATAATTAAAAACATTATACAAGGAAAATAAGTTCTAAAATCTATAACGCATGCTTCTGCAGTACAAAATTAGAGAAAATAAAAACAAATGCAAGTAGAATGAATCAAATAAAGAAGAGAAATAAATGAGGTTGGAAAGAGAAAAGCGACAGAGAAAAGTATTAAAACTAAAAGTTGGTCAACTGAGAAGTTTAATAAAGACTGAACAAGAAGAAAAAATTATTAAAAGCAGACCTGCTGATTGAATATACATGAAATTATAATAAAAGAACATTTTTTTAGTGGCCATAGAGCCAGCTCTAAGGTGGTGACCTCATGTATAACCAACTGGAATTCTGCTTAGTCTTATCCACCTTATTTGATGTCTTTCAGTCCAGTGTTGTCAATCAACCCATAAAGCTGCTGCAGTAGAGTAAATGCACCTAATTCTTTAAAAGATATAAACTATCAAAACACACTCAAGACATACAGGATTTTAATGTATTACTGAGCTCGCTATTAGCCTCCCTGTAGTGTATTCCAGACTTGTAGCATCCTATACAGAATACTTTATTATAATCATGCAAAACCTATAAGTAGACCAAAAAGCTACTGTCTGAACAGACCAAGGAAACTGCATGGTTTAAAATTAGGAAAGGTGTGCATCAGGGTTGCATCCTATTCAGTCTGTATGCTGGAAAAGATCATTCAAAAAGTTGGGACTCTATGAAGAATGTGGCATCAGGATCAGAAGACGACTTATCAATAATTTGTGTTCTGCTGATGACACAATCTTGCTTGCTCAAAGTGAGGACTTGAAACCCTTGCTGCAGGAGATTAAAGACTACAGCCTTCAATATACATTGCATCTCAGCATCAAGAAGACAAAAATCTTCGCCACTGGACCTATAAGCAACAACATGATAAATGGAGAAAATTGAAATTATCATCTTACTTGGATCCACAATCAACACACTTGGTACCAGCAGTCAAGAGATCAGGAGACATATTCCACTTGGCAAGTTCACTGTCAGGGATTTCTTCAAAATATGAAAGAGGAAAGATGTCGGTTTAAAGACTAAGATGCACCTGATTTAACCATTTCAATCATTTGCTATACAACTGAGAGCTGGACAATGACTAAGGATTACAGAAGAATTGATTTCTTTGATTTGTAGTATTAGAGAAGACTATGGAATATTCCAAAAACTGAAAAAAGAACAGATAGGTCTTGGGAAAAAATGCAGCTAGAGTTTCCTAGAAACAAGGATGGCAAAGTTTCATCTCATATCCACTGAGCTTGTTGCTTGGAGACACTTGGGAAGGAATATTATGCTTGGAAAAGTGGAGGGTCAGTAAAAGAGAAGAAAATACTAAATAAGATGGATTGATAAAGTGACTGCAGCCAATAGGTTCAGGTGTGTCAAAGATGGCACAGGAGAGGACAAGGTTCAAATCCATTGTTCACAGGGTCACTATAACTCAATGGCACCCTGTGCACAGCAAAACAAAGTGGTACTGGGTTGCTGAGTAAAAAATCCACTAAATGGCAACTTTATTTTTATGAAGGGGAGAGAAAATGGATTTTTAAAAATACCACTAAGTGAACTCGAACTCACAGCCGTCCCAAGTGTGTTGAAGTAAATTGTGTTCATTTCATAGGACTTTCAGAAGCTCCTTCTGCAGTAGGAGATCTGCAGTCCCTTCTTCCAGGCACCTTTGTGTGAACTCAAATCTACACTTCCAGTTAGCAGTCAAGCATATAAACTGTTTGTACAGGCCAGGGACTCCAAACGAGCTAAATGTCATGGAGGTGCAATGTGATGTCCTATCGAATTTCGAAACAGAAAAAGTCATTAAAAACTAAAGAAATCTAAGGGAGCTCTGGTGGTCTTGTAGCAAGAAGCTACTCTGCAATCCGAAAGGCACACAGTTCAAATACACCAGATGCTACGCTGGAGAAGGAGGGGCAATGTCCTCCAGTGCTGGTCGAATCAAATTTGACAGCACACAGCAAGTCATTAAAAAAAAATTTTTTTTAAAGAAATCCGAGCAAAATTGAATTAATAAGGATATATCAATGTTGATTTATTTAATATTAGAAAATGGAGGATATAAAAATTCTACTATCTGTGTCACAAATCTAAAATTATCCCTAATTAGTAATGTGTTAATTAAAAATGGCAAGAAGAAATGAGGAACGTCATCAAGTAACCACCCACCCTGTAGGACTGGCTGTGTCTGAATGCTTAGAAACTTGGGGTTATGGGATAACTCAGTTAATGGGCCTACAGCTAAGTCAATAGGCATAATATGGTTCACAAAGCTCAGGAAAAAACAAAACAAAACAAACCAGTCCTACAACCAGGATAAAATAAAATAGATGAATGAGACCTTCTAAGAATCAAATCCCTATGCACATCAAAAAACTTCTCCAACAGGCTAAAAATGAAAGACACAGACTGGGAAAAAATATTTGGTAATGACATGTCTGACTTATACCTAGAATTTACAGAGTACTTGAGCACCCAAACACGATAAAGGTAAACAACCCAATAGCAAAGTGGGCACAGGATATGAACAGACACGTCACCAGAGATGACATTCAGATAGCCAACAAATACATGAAGAAACATTCAAAATCCCTAGCTCTTAAGAGATGCTAATCAAAACAACTATGAGATATCATCTCACTCCAGTAACAACAGCAAAATTCAAAAGAGTAGCAAACAACAAATGCTGGCAAGGTTGTGGAGAAACTGGAACCATTATTCACTGTTAGTGAGAGTGTAAAATTGTGCTACTCTGGAAGGCAGTATGGCACTTTCTCAAAAAGCTGGAAACAAATACCATTTGACCTAGCAATTGCACTACTGGGAATATACCCTAAAGAAACCAGAACTGCCACCCAAGCTAATATATGCACATACACAATTACTGTTCACAAAAGCAAAGAGATGGAAAAAACCCAAGAGCCCATCAACAAACAAATGGATAGAGACTCTGTGGTATATTCACAAAATGAAATACAACGCAACACTGAAAAACAAGGAACTCATAAAATATTATACAAAATGACTGACCCTGGAGGACATTATGTTGAGTGAAATATCTGTCACAAAAGGACAAATACTGTATAATGCCACTGTTATAAAACAGGACTGATACTGCAGCTGGGAGAAAACTAAGAAAAGAGAGGATAAATAATGAACATGCATTGAAACAGATGACCGAAAGACCTGTCTAAAAGAAATATATTAGATAATACCTGCATGACAACACTGCAGAATAAGAGGTGTATAGCAAAGTGGACTGAGGGAAGGACGAAGGAGGAAACTGTGCAACAATTAAAGAATCTTTTTTAAAGAAAAGTGAATTAGGGGTGGAAGGGAGGAAAATCTGCGACAATGAACGAATGGAAATCCAAGTTTCCTGAAAATTTTCATTAAAATATCAATTAAAAAATTAAAAAAATTTAAAAATAACCCTAGGGTAACAGCACCATAAGAAGTGATGGTGAGCATCAAATAATATAGTTTTTGCAGAATAGTACTGTGATGGACACAGTATAAGATCTAATGATTCTATCTTCTAACAATATAGACATGCTGCAACCATTATAATAAAAGTGTAGAGG